CTCTCTCTCTCTCTCTCTCTCTCTCTCTCTCTCTCTCTCTCTCTCTCTCTCTCTCTCTCTCTCTCTCTCTCTCTCTCTCTCTCTCTCTCTCTCTCTCTCTCTCTCTCTCTCTCTCTCTCTCTCTCTCTCTCTCTCTCTCTCTCTCTCTCTCTCTCTCTCTCTCTCTCTCTCTCTCTCTCTCTCTCTCTCTCTCTCTCTCTCTCTCTCTCTCTCTCTCTCTCTCTCTCTCTCTCTCTCTCTCTCTCTCTCTCTCTCTCTCTCTCTCTCTCTCTCTCTCTCTCTCTCTCTCTCTCTCTCTCTCTCTCTCTCTCTCTCTCTCTCTCTCTCTCTCTCTCTCTCTCTCTCTCTCTCTCTCTCTCTCTCTCTCTCTCTCTCTCTCTCTCTCTCTCTCTCTCTCTCTCTCTCTCTCTCTCTCTCTCTCTCTCTCTCTCTCTCTCTCTCTCTCTCTCTCTCTCTCTCTCTCTCTCTCTCTCTCTCTCTCTCTCTCTCTCTCTCTCTCTCTCTCTCTCTCTCTCTCTCTCTCTCTCTCTCTCTCTCTCTCTCTCTCTCTCTCTCTCTCTCTCTCTCTCTCTCTCTCTCTCTCTCTCTCTCTCTCTCTCTCTCTCTCTCTCTCTCTCTCTCTCTCTCTCTCTCTCTCTCTCTCTCTCTCTCTCTCTCTCTCTCTCTCTCTCTCTCTCTCTCTCTCTCTCTCTCTCTCTCTCTCTCTCTCTCTCTCTCTCTCTCTCTCTCTCTCTCTCTCTCTCTCTCTCTCTCTCTCTCTCTCTCTCTCTCTCTCTCTCTCTCTCTCTCTCTCTCTCTCTCTCTCTCTCTCTCTCTCTCTCTCTCTCTCTCTCTCTCTCTCTCTCTCTCTCTCTCTCTCTCTCTCTCTCTCTCTCTCTCTCTCTCTCTCTCTCTCTCTCTCTCTCTCTCTCTCTCTCTCTCTCTCTCTCTCTCTCTCTCTCTCTCTCTCTCTCTCTCTCTCTCTCTCTCTCTCTCTCTCTCTCTCTCTCTCTCTCTCTCTCTCTCTCTCTCTCTCTCTCTCTCTCTCTCTCTCTCTCTCTCTCTCTCTCTCTCTCTCTCTCTCTCTCTCTCTCTCTCTCTCTCTCTCTCTCTCTCTCTCTCTCTCTCTCTCTCTCTCTCTCTCTCTCTCTCTCTCTCTCTCTCTCTCTCTCTCTCTCTCTCTCTCTCTCTCTCTCTCTCTCTCTCTCTCTCTCTCTCTCTCTCTCTCTCTCTCTCTCTCTCTCTCTCTCTCTCTCTCTCTCTCTCTCTCTCTCTCTCTCTCTCTCTCTCTCTCTCTCTCTCTCTCTCTCTCTCTCTCTCTCTCTCTCTCTCTCTCTCTCTCTCTCTCTCTCTCTCTCTCTCTCTCTCTCTCTCTCTCTCTCTCTCTCTCTCTCTCTCTCTCTCTCTCTCTCTCTCTCTCTCTCTCTCTCTCTCTCTCTCTCTCTCTCTCTCTCTCTCTCTCTCTCTCTCTCTCTCTCTCTCTCTCTCTCTCTCTCTCTCTCTCTCTCTCTCTCTCTCTCTCTCTCTCTCTCTCTCTCTCTCTCTCTCTCTCTCTCTCTCTCTCTCTCTCTCTCTCTCTCTCTCTCTCTCTCTCTCTCTCTCTCTCTCTCTCTCTCTCTCTCTCTCTCTCTCTCTCTCTCTCTCTCTCTCTCTCTCTCTCTCTCTCTCTCTCTCTCTCTCTCTCTCTCTCTCTCTCTCTCTCTCTCTCTCTCTCTCTCTCTCTCTCTCTCTCTCTCTCTCTCTAGTTAAATGGTTTCCCTCAGACTATGTTAGGCGTCAAGGCAATCACCCGCATTTTTATGGTAGGAATCAAGCTAATACTCTCCAGGCAAATTGGGTGATGTATCGATTTTCCGTCTCTAAAAAAAGGATATATATATAAGCCTTTGCCTATGAAGGGAAGGGGGAGAAAAGAGTAGATGTCTATGCAGAATTCCCTTCCGTAGAATTCTTGAAACCACGTCCAAATACTAAAATATCACTGGCCTCCTTACCTTCCAGTTTCCATTATTGAAGGCCTGCCACTGGGGGACTGCGTTGATATAGTAATAGGTCGCGTCCTGCTCCGCCTCCGTCACGAAGTCGGCGTCAGGAGCCAGGTGTCCCTTGGCGAAGTAGTATTGCTTCTTGGGGAAGATGTAGGTCTCCGCCATGCTCTGTTCGATGGGGGTTATTGAATACAATAGCCTCTTATATGTATGGGGAGAAGCAGGATGTACTACCTCTGTGCTTAAATTGACGTAACATGATAAATGTCATATACGTATGAAATAAACATAAACTTAAAAAAAACTGAATGTACAGGAAAGAAAGAACCCATTTTTCATTAATATTGAAAACCAGTGTAATAAGCAAAACTGCACAGAGGAAGAAAGGATGGAAGAAAGAAAGGACAAGTTACATTATCTTGGAGGAGATCTTGCATTAACTTCAGCTGAGTCTTCTTCTCGTAGCAAGTTTTCATGGAGATGTTGAAGAACCCTTTGGAAGTCTTGAAGGAAGGTCTCTTAGGGTCGATATCCTTAGCAGCGATGTTTGCTCCGTGGATCGTATGCTTCGAATAAAGCGTCGTTTCTTTGTTTTCATCGTAGCAAACGCTGATCTGAAAACACAAACAAGGGTTTCTCTTTCATATGTTAATGGGGTTTATTCTTCTCTTAATGGAGGTTTTTTATTCTTTTCACTGATACCCGTAGACATACGATCCGCATTTCTCACGCATGCGAACAAAATGCACGCATACTGTAAGATAATTTTCTTCTAATAATATATATGATGTCACAGAGGCACCACTTTGTAAACAACGCGCATATTACTTGTTCTTTTTGTGTTTGTAAGACACAGTAGTATTTATATTGGATTTTTTTCTTTACAATTTCCTCTTGTGTATAAACAATCTTTTCTTTCTTAGTCCCCCATCAATAACTATGGTTTTCTTTGTCTAAGCTTTGAATAAACGATTATGCGAACAACTGACAGCGTGCAGACTGAGAACATTTGAATTGCATTAGAAATAACGCACCGAATATAAAATAATAAAAGAATAAAAAAAAAACGATATATCAATACACACACACTTAATTAACCACATAAACAAAACCAACGTAAAAAAACACACACACACACGCAATCCCCCTACACGAGCATTTACCACTTCATAGAATTCATCTTCGCGGATCTGGAAACCGATGCTGGCCAGGACACCGACGTCACCGGCGCCACAGTAGTCCAAGTGGCTGAGGATCGCTGACTTCGGCTTCCTCTTGCACCCGAGATCCGAAAGCTTCATGTCCTGCAGGATGAGGTTTAGTTATACCTGAACTTAAGTCAAGCGTTTCGTGCGTATGGAAGCCGTGTTTACAATGTTTATTATTTGAGTTACGATGCAGTTCAGCAGAAGTACACATTATATAGATAGATAGTTAGATAGATACACACAAACATTCACATACACATAGAAACACATACACACACTTTATTGAAGTACATATGTGTTTATATGTGTGTGTGTGTGTGTGTGTACATATATATAGTACATGTGTGTATATATATACATAGATATGTGTATGTGTGTGTGTTTGTGCATTTATGTATATATAAATTTATATGTGAATATATATGTGTGTGCGTGCGTGTGTGTGTGTGTGTGTGTGTGTGTGTGTGTGTGTGTGTGTGTGTGTGTGTGTGTGTGTGTGTGTGTGTGTGTGTGTGTGTGTGTTTGTGTGTTTGTGTGTGTGTGTGTTTGTGTGTTTGTGTGTGTGTGCGTGTGTATGTACATATGTGCATATATATACATATAAATTCACACGAAGAGTTACACAGAAATAACGAGAAAGCAAGAAAAGAAGCAGCATGACATAAAAGCAGCAGCGACGTCAAATGAAAAAAATATATATATTAAAACAATAAATCTAATACTTATTGAAAACAAAACAAAGCAGACAAGACTAGATATTATTTTTTTTTTAATTCAAAGCAACATTTTTTTTATAATAAACTGAACAACCCAAGCGTAGTTTCACACCCACTCAACCTGCATTTTGTTAAACGTCACTGAAACCACTTTACTTTTCCATCGACTGAAAGCACATTTCCTCCGGTACACTTGGCCGCCACAGTCTCCTTCTCTTGACCTTTAATGGTATTCCCAGGGCACGCTAAGGTCAGGTCAGTACCGATGGGTAGCCTTGTAATGGTAGAATCCAGTGTGAGTTTAATTCACACACAAACATGCATAAATACTTTTCTTTTCCTTTCTCTTCCTTATTATTGTTGTTACTTCCATTACTATTATCGTTATTATCCATATTATATTTAAGAATATCTATGTTAATTCATGTTCCTATGTTGTAGTTTCGTTCTCTTCAACAAGCGGTTAGGCAGTTTGGGTATTTTTTTAAAGCAATTCATGGGTATATATTGGAAATTTTTTTTTTTCTATTGTGTTGTGAGTATTGATAATTCTAATAGAAAGGAATTTTCGCTTGGTTTGTAAATTACAGTATTTCTCGTAAGAAAATGTTGCTAAGTGACTCCAGTTTTTATCATACCGAAGATACGCTTTTGATTGCAAGATAACAGACTGGTGACGATAATCAATCGATAGTTAACTGAAATGCAACCAGATTATTTGGACAAGTTGCATTCGGCTACCAGTCACCAATTTTCCAAGTGCATTTTCACCGCGTTAAAAATAATAATAATAATAATAAAATAAATAAATAAATAAAATAAAATAAAAACTACAGTCAAGCAAAGTGTGTTTATAATCTCCGACCTGCCATTCTCAAAGCACGAACACATATGTCACGTGAAGTATCTCATTAACTCAAGCATATCCAGCCACCTGTGCTCCAAGTGACAGGTAATGACATCTTAAATCTCCTTATTCTGTGATCTGCTTTACCTGATTAATTCCGAGTCGTTTTCCTTGGTTGGGAGCACGAACTTCAGCGCCGAGTTTATAATGAGAGGTGAAATCTTAGGGAAGTCGACTTTCTTCTCAAACACACAATCCTCAC